TTAGTCCCTATAGATTAAAAATATGTTTATTCTCTTAGTGATTTATTTGCATTGTAGCCTTATATGTACGTAAGAAGTCTTCGTTATACCTTAACGAGACTTTGCTCATTACTTCAATGAAAATAGAAAGATTAAACATGTTTTTTAACCTCAAGTTGACAGCATTTTATGTTTTCTACCCATTCATTTTTTTTCGACATCTTACCTCAGTTTACAAAAGTGTGTAAACAATGTTTAAAATTCAAATTAAAATTTAATATTTTAAGTAGGTGATAAACATAAGCTTTTTTTTTTTGAAGCACAAGTGGGGTGGAAGTGGGGAATCGAACTCACAGCTTCTCAATTTAAGATATATACCAGTTACTGTTGGGTTATATTCACTTTGACAATACTACTCCTATTCAACTGTGTCAATTAACTTTGTATATTTGTTTGTTATATATATATATATATATATAATAAACAAATATATAAATATATATATATATATTGTAACTACTCATACTTTTTTCAATCTCAATCGCTCTCTAAAGTAGATCAACAAACAATATTACCTCTCACAAAACCCACATGGACCTACATCCAATTGCTTAATTTAGGAATAAATTATGCATTGGGTCACTAAATTGAGAGTGAAATAGAAAGGTATATCAAAAAGAAAAACTCGAGGCAAAGGAGATAGAATGAGCGCCATATAATAAAACTCTAGCCTTCACACATCACACATAATGAAATAGTACATTACCGGTAGGTTAATTGATCTTTGTTGGATTCCATTTTTTGATCGGAGGATTATTTAGCTTTTTGAGCTCTGATATTATATTAATATTCACGAGATTCCATCTAAAAACTAATTGGCTATGAAGGAAAGAGTCCATGTTTATTATAAACTCTTGTTAAGGTCATTCATCTTTTCAACGTGCGATATTTAACATAAATATGGTTAGTTCTTTTATTAATAGTAGCTTTTAGATAGATGACATGCACTTTGACTATCACCGCATAGTATCGGGGCTTTGAAATCCTCCGATCAATCTTTATTCGTGTTCTATGAAAAGAACATCCAATTTATATTATCTAGCCTATATATGTTTAGTAGCTATAGTTCTAAGACTTGATAAGTCACATCCTCAATAAAGAAGGCATCACTAATCTCTTTCCTTTATCCTTACCCTATGTTTTTCTTCTTCTTTACCCTCGTAGTAGGATAGAAAATAGATTTCTTTCTCTTTCTTTTCCATCCTTAATTCTAAGTTTATATTTTTTAAAAATTATCAATTTCAACTGTCAATGAATCCCTACCATATTTTATTGTAGCATAAACATCTTGGTATGATTCAAGCAACAAATTAACAATAATATTATAGATTGATTCTTGTTAGATGGCTCATCAATTTTTATAATGCTTACATCATATAGCTTACAATTAGTTAATTAGACTGTAAAACAATTCTTTTTTCTTTTTTTTTCTTTTGTGTTGTGTGTAGTTTTTGAAGAAGACACTTTTTAATATTTTATAAAGAAAGAAAACTTTGATACCTTGAAGTTAAACAACGCCCACATACTTTTATTTATATTTTCTTTTCCAATTCAAGCATGGGAGATTATTATAATATAGACCTTTTGTGTTGTCCTTGAGAGATTAATTTTAAGGGAGAAGGCATGCCTATATATTGATAGTTTATTTTAGGCTTTTATGTTAATAGAACATAAATCTCTAGTATGCATGTGATACATTGTTAACATTAATGAAATTTTTTTCTTTTTTGAGTTCAACAATTTAGAACTAGGAATCAATCCATCGACTTTTAAGAAATAATAAGTTTTTTATCCATTGAGTTATGCTCAAATTTGTTAATTAAGGATCACACCTTAAAACGATAAGGACCTAACAAGAGATTATAATATGAGTGGATTACTCTTCTAATTGTAAATTGGTTTTGACATGGAACTCGTGAATATTTATATGGTATCAGAGCCTCTCACTGCGAATTGATTTTAAGATGAAATTTCATGAATATTGATAAAATTAACACCGATGATAAGATAAATAGAATCACTTGAGGCTTAAAAAAGTAAGTTAAGTAATGACTGTGATCGAGGTGTTATTTTGAACACTTTTCAATGGTAGACTCTTTCAAATACGATTTTACATTCATATAAGATATCCCATTAAAACACTTTTTAGTTGTTTTTCTTAGGCTCACGAGTATTTTTTTTTAAGAAAAGAATAAAATCGAAATATCAAAGTTTTGATTTAAAATTATTAAATCTCTTGTAAGTGAGAATTTATTTTTTTTTGTTTATATCGATTTCTAGATAAGGGTTGTGTCAGTGTCACGTAGGTGCCATGAATGTTGTCGCTTTCAACATCTTGATTGCCTGCAAACAGAAATCTAGCACTGGTTTAGGTATAGAGTGTGTCACCGCTCTACATGTTGGCTGTCCTAGTACGGGAATCTAGATGCACTCTGTCTTGTAGCCGGTGAGCTCGGGAATGGGCCCAGTGTGCTTGAACTCTGATGGTTCTTTTTTTACCCAGCTCATGCGTTTGGATAGATTTACGACGCGTGACACCTCAGCTTTATTCGATAACAATTTTAATAATTAAAATTTCACAAAATATTAAGTTTTATACTTATTTGTCCAAATTAATGGTTAATAAAGATTAATGAATTTAGATGAAGGTGACAAGGAAGAAATTGTTTATAAAACTAGTTGTCTACCTAAAAAAARTAGCCCTCATCTGATTTCTTATTTGAGAGTTGAATTTATTTATGTAAACGTGGTAACATGGTTAACTATTTTTCTTTATTTTGATATGAAAATTTGTATTTTAGTAATTTGGAACCTAGCTACGACTCCGTAAGAAGAGATACAAATGTCTAGTCCTTTGAACTATATAAATTATTATAAGACGATTATTTATTTCATGATTAATTTTTCAACGGGAAAATTAATGCAAACATAAACCCTCTATATATCTATCTAGAAAATTTGAGGAAAAATGATAGATTTGTTTTCCAAGTTCAAGACATCAATAAATTTGTTGTCTTAGTGGTTTTTGAAATTTACTCGAGTTGAGACATTGGTTGACGTCGCAATAATTATTTCCATTCACAATGATATGTCCTAAGATATAATATGATATAGTCTAGCTAGGTTATTGATATATTTGTTCCATATAACAGTCTTCTTTTTAAAAAAAAAATATTATAATGTATGTTTATTAACCATCTTCTTTGTTTAATTTTTATTTAATTTTTAGAAGTATGTAGAAAAGGTTCTATGATTGACACAATTGTGGGTTGAAATTGATTTGGGATTTTCCACCTAATGAGACAGGATTAAGTGGTTGCTCACATTTTCTAAGAAAGTTGCTCTTGGAATCATCAAGTTGGTGAGAAATTATTATTACTTTTACATCATTTGTTTTGTATTAGTCATTCCAAGAAATACAATTATGACCCAATCAGCATAGATCTAATCTTCTAATCTTACGATCATATTGCCCACATGAACATAGCTTGAACGATAATTGATATGCACTCTTTCAGGTTAGAGATTCGATCTCCTATATCTTCAAATTGTTGTAAGAAAAAAGATACCATATTAAATATTAATTATTTTATGATGAGAATATTGTTTGAATGGTTGAGATGCGAATATCCCTGTACTATTTTTTTTATGTGACGATTCAAACTCAAGACCTTCTAATCGGACATGTTTGAGAATGATGAACCATAACAAATGGGAAAAATTCTCTTATTTGATATTCACTAAATTCCCTGTAATATTTTTTTTTTAATATTACATTCAAAGAAGTCTACACATGTTTGAGAATGATGAACCATAACAGATAGGGAAAATTAATCCGTTTAGGGTTGTTTAAGGTTTTAATGATATTTTAATTATTCAACTTGCATAGTTTATAGGAGTGTAGATTAATTTTTACCCTTAATTAATTAAACGTTTTATACTTGTCCCATTATCATTAATTTTTTTTAAATTTTGTAACCCTTATTGAAAAGTTTACATAGTCTTGAAATTCTCTTATTTGATATTCTAATCTACCTTTGTTTAATTAGTAAATTTTCACTTAAGCTTTTTCTTTGGCTTTATTGAATTAAATTCAAGTATTAATGATTGGCATTCATAATCTTAAAATAAATTAGGTTGACAAAAAGAAATCTATCGCAGTAGTGTATTAAAAAATAATAAATTTAATTATTTTGAGATGATATAATTGGGCATGTAAACCTCCAACTTCCAAAGAAAGTTATGCCTTACTATTTATTTATATCCTCTAGATCAAAAGTAAAATATTTTTCAAAGATCTAACTTTGTTTTCCTTGTTATATTTATCTTTATTTTTATATCTGTGATTTCCGACCAGCACGCACCTCGACTAATTTCACACAACTACTTGACCCTACAACATTTGTTCTTGGAGAACACATAGGAATTACTAATTCCTAAAGTAGGTGGCTATTATGGAGTTTGAACTCTATATTCCTTGTTATATTGGAAGGTTTAATAAATTATTCCAACTCATAGCTTTTTTTGTTTCCTTCAAATTTATTATGAAGCATCTAAAATTCATCACTAAATTTCGCTCCACATTCGAGTATATTCATAATCTTTTTAATCACACATTACAATTTCTTTAAAGGAATCACACATTACATTAACATAAGTACTACTTCCAAATATATACTCTTACAAAACTTATAAATTCGTATATTCAATCAAACAAAAACTCTAGCTTCATTAGATTACAAAAAAAAAAAACAAACAGTACGAACACGGTTATAGAAGCAAACTCAAGTCGTAGTCATACCATCTCCAAAGCTAGCTAGTCAAAGCGAATAGTTTAGGCCGTATTTGATAACAATTTTTTTGTTTTTTTTGTTATTAAAATTTTTGACTTACTAATTTTTCACAATTTTTTTTGTATGTCAAAATGAAGAAACACGAGTAAGTAGTGGTCATAAGTTTAATTTGGCTTCGAAATAGTTATCTCATTGTGGCCTCGTTTATTTAACACAGATAGTCTAGCTAGCCAACTTATTATATCAATTACCCTCCAGTTTGCTTTCAATTACTCCAGCAATCCACATCTCTTCTGGGACACCCATGGTGATTGTATCCACCACTTTCACTATCAGGGCGCCTACTTTTGCCCCTTTCATTCTCATTACCCCGCAGCCGCGGCTCGGGTTTCTCAGCCAGACGTCGGAGACTCATACGCTTCGCCCCTTCGGTTACCATGGCCGAGCTGATCAGCACAAGCAGAAGGATCACCCCAAGAGTCAATCTTCTCATTTTCACACAAAGCTTTGTTATATTTGGGTTAGCTAGTAGCTTTATAAATCTGTACAAGCCAAAAAAAAAAAGTGTTGATTAGATGAATAGAAGAAGATCAGTAGAGAGAAAAAAAAAGTTTTAAGTTAGAGAAGTTTACTTGGTTATTGAGACCTCAAACTGAGGAATATAAGTGGAAATGGGCTGGTTTGAGTAGTGAGGTTTCTATTAGGTGGTGGAGTGTTTATATAGCACATATCAGCAGTAGCAGAGTGAAGAAAGTAGGTTGCCAGCCTCTTAGTACATATTAATTTAAAAAAATTGTATAAAAAATTTAAGATTTTAAATTCTCTCTAATTTACCCATTTATAAGATTATAAAAATATAAAAAAAGTTAGAATAGAAGGAAACGTTTGAAAACTTGTCAAACAGAGTTGGACGTCATATTTTCAATGTTTTCGAATATATGTTTCGTAGAAGATTTGAAAACTGAATCTCAATTTAAACGATTGTTTCAAAGTGTTTAGTAATAAACTAGTCACCAACTAAAAATTTAATTTAATATAAAATAATATTAATTAATTTATATGTTATAATTAATTTTATTTTACAGGATTATATAATTTATAATATATTATATTTTACATTTTTTAATTAGTTATTATTTTGATGTGATTCTACCTTTAAAGTTTTAAATTTAAAATTTGAAAACTCTGATCCCACAATCCAAAAATAATTTTAAAAAATAAATCTACTAAATAGATATTTCCTGAATTTATTAGTGAATCTCAAAATAAAAAATAGAATTAAAACGACATGTTTACACATTGTCTTAATTTTAAAATTTAATACGATTTTATTTCACTTCTATTATCATTGATTATATTTTTTAAAATTGCAGGAAGTAAGTAATATTGTATGGTACATAGAAAAGTTAGTTTTTATTTGCTAGCGACGAAATACTGAAAGCGTCGCTATATTTAGTGACGAAATTGCATAACGTCACAATAAGAAAATAACAAAGAGCTAAAATTAGTATGGAAAAAAAAAATTTAGCGACGAAACATTTTCGCCACAAAACCAAACCAATGACGATTTCTATTACTTCAAGCGACGAAAACGTCATTTTCGTCGCTGCAGAGACGAAAAGTACTTCGTCGCTGCAGTGACGAAAAGTACTTCGTCGCTGCAGTGACGAAAAGTCTTTCGTCGNGAAAAAAATATGTAACGATGATTACGTATGTTTTCTTATAGTGAATATGTACCTTTCTTATTTATGTTTTCACATTGTACACATTGTCTTAATTTTGAAATTTAATATCATTTTATTTCACTTCTATTATCATTGATTATATTTTTTAAAATTGCAGGAAGTAATATTGTAGGGTACATAGAAAAGTTGGAGTTTTTATTTGCTAGCGACGAAATACTGAAAGCTTCGCTATATTTAGCGACGAAATTGCATAACGTCACACTAAGAAAATAACAAAGAGCTAAAATTAGTATGGAAAAAAAAATTTAGCGATGAAACATTTTCGCCACAAAACCAAACCAGCGACGATTTCTATTACTTCAAGTGACGAAAACGTCATTTTCGTCACTGCAAAGACGAAAAGTACTTCGTCGCTGCAGTGACGAAAAACGTTTTCTTCGCCGTAGCGACGAAACGGATTTTCGTCACTGCAGTGACGAAAATTGCTTCGTCGTTGTAGGGACAAAATGACGTTCCGTCGCCGCGACGAAACAAAATTTTCGTCGCAAAACATTGCGACGCGCGCAATTTCGTCGCTGATGTCCAGTAGCGACATTTATTCAGCGACAAGACGCGCGACATTCTACTTTTCGTCGCTGTGTTTGACGACGAAAATACTACATCAGCGACGAAATATTTTCGTGGCCGAGTGTATTTTTTTTTAGTGTGTATGCCAATCTGGCCTTAAAATTTTGCCCTTTCTCTTCAAATTTTTTTTGACTCCGTCGGTGCATAACGCGGGCATTATAAATTGTGGTTTTTCTTCATCAGACAAATGAGGTAAAGATGAAGTGGGTTGCCCACAAATTTCTAAAGAAATGTTTTAAAATGGATTGGAATGATGATATGTAGGATAATTCTGGCCTATATAAACAGGAAAATTCCACCATGTGAGCTGAAATAAAAGCCTAAGATCTCAAGTTGAGCACAGTTGGTTGTCCCGAGTATCAATATTATATTAATATTTATGAAGTTCTATCTCAAAATTAATTGACATTTAGAATAGTAGTTAGGTACATTATAAATCTTTACTAGGTCTCTTATATTTTTGATGTGGGATACTTAACAGTGTTTAACCTGTGTCGTTCGTGAATGACAGGTGAAAAATGCTTTGTAGTGCTATTTGAATCTAAGTATAGGTACTAATGCTGAGTGAAACAAGCAACGTTTGAAATAGTGAAAAGTGGTTTTAGGCTGTATTTTAATTTTTAAAGTTTGAAAAATTGCAAAAACCACTATCGATAGGAATTGTTATAATCACATGTAGGACTCAGAGTTTTAAATTCAATCAATCATCTCTCAAACTTACAAAATAGTTGCAATTAAACTTGTTGCAACTATCCTATTTAATTGCAACTTCTCAAGTTTCAGGGGAAAGTTGCTACAATTTCATAAGTGCTATTTTTATGAGTTCTTTTGTACGTAAAAATATATAGCTTAATTAAAAGTAGGGTTGAAGTATCGCTAATTCACAAGTATAGATTTCTTTCCATCTTTTTTCGTGTTGTTTGGCTCTTCTAACTAAAAATTCTAAAATTTTATATTTGACAAACAAAAGATTGTTAAGTAGTGGTATCAAAGCCAAACACCTTTGATCTTAGGCGGTTGTTGTTGATGTCGGGGTCTGACATGTTCTACGACGTGGATAGTAAATTTGAAGTTCAATATGTTCGAACTTAGTAAAACCAAATATCCGAGGTCCACAACACCTTTTCAAGTTTCTTTTGACGAAGGAGTGAAGTACTTTTAAACCCAAATGACTTGTGGGAAGATGGTAAGTGAAGAGAATTCACTTTTTTTGTATTTCTATTTTGAAAAATGTCAATTCATTTGGTTTTGCCTTACAACATATATGGTTTCTTAAAAGATTGGGCTTACTAACTCTTAAGCCCATGAACTAAGAATACATAAACAACAGAAGTAATTGTAATTTAAAGCAAATAAAGTAATTTCAATTTTTTTTATAAATATAAGTATTTATGTAGTTTAAGCAACGTTCCCACAATTATATATAAATTTTTAGAAGCGAATAAAACGACATAAATAAAACCTACATTCTATAGTTTTTTCACTTTAAAATGCTTATTAATGAATTTTTCAAAAATTTAATACATATAACTTTGAATACTTTATTATGAGAAAGAAAAACTAACTTTGATCATGAACAACTTTGATGTGTTTTTAAAATTTAAAATTTATAAGCAAGAAAAAAAAGTTAACCGATTCATAACTATTTTTCTTGTCAATTATTAAGAAGGTAAAAACAAGCTTAATGCTTATTTTCCCTTAGAAAAAGATGAAACAACAAATAAAAAAATAGAAACAACCACCAAGAAATGAGACCGTTACCTTAAGATCCTAAATGACCTAAATAATACTTATTGATTTCAATTTCTTGGCAAGTGACATAGGCACCACGCAGGTGCAACGTATGTCTTCGTCTCCAAGCTCAAGTCGAATATGCGAACAGAAATCTAGCGCCATTGTTGTGCTCTGTTGAGTGCATTATGATACCTAAGTTTAGAACTTGGATAAGTGTGAACGAGTATGGAGTACTACTATTTTTCGCAAGAGTCTAATTTTGCATCCCAGATTCCATTGTTTAAGTGTTCCCTTTATACAAAGAGAGGGGGAGAGAGGTGAATTGACTAGACATTCTACGTCCTCTTCTAACTTTTCAGAGTGGCACATCGATGTCAAGAATAGCAGCCTGACACATTAACAGACTCGCTGCAAGTTTCAAGTGCCAGAGCCCACCAACCGTATTCGTACACCTCGTACGGTGCGCTTGACATGGGTGTTTGATGTGCTCGTCTTTGGTTCAATCTGCTCCGCGGTCCCCTATTCATCGATCATGCGGGCTCCACATGTTTGCACGAGAACTTTCATGTGGCGCTCCAAATTCACTCCTCACCAATAATATGACCCGAACTGCTAAACCATAAAACCCAAATGTAGTTGAAAGTAAAACACAAAACACAAATTTGACAATATTCTCACTTGTTTCTCATTTTTCTATTCTATTTAAAAAAAATGTGTTTAGTAACTTTCTTTTAATAAAAGGAGCACAAAAATTTTGCTTTAATAGAGGATTTTAACCAAAACTAATTTAAATTTCATATCATATTACCAAAGCATTAGGAAATACCTGGTCAAGTGTTCTATCATTAAAGCAAATCTTAGTAGAAATGTTTGGTTAAGTTAGATTTTCTTGTAAAAACTACCACCATCCAAATCGTTTCTTTCACATTAATAAGCCTTTACTTCAATTTAGAGTCGAGAGTTCCTTTTTCGTTATTTTTTGTTGTTCTTTTTTAATACAACAAATCTAAAGGGTAAAGATCTCAACATATGACATCACAAGAGAATAAGTAGATGTTATTTATCACTAAATTATTAGATTGACAATTTAGAGTAAAAAAGAGTTAATTGCACTAATTTTTTTGCAATTGAAATATAAATCACTCTCTTTTATTTAGCTCAAACGAAACCATTTTGATTTATACAAAACATTTGTTAAGAAAGAAAAAAATCAGACAAAAAATAACATAAATGTTCACTTCTAAAAAAAGTGCTACCAACTTTTTGACTTTTGACGAGATGCAGCAAAAATCCATCAAATAAATGGATTTTGATTTAATAATAGACTTTTTATAGACAAGTTTGATTTTTTTTTCCCTCTTCCAATGTTTTAATTTAGTGGAGACGGGCTTTTAAGGTTCGAGTTGGGTTTGAATTTTTTTTTTTTTAATACAACAAATACGAGGATTGGGATTTGAAATTTCTAGGAGTGTTGAGATATCTTAATCGTTGAATTAGATACACGTTGACAGTATTCAAATATGAGATTCAACCAACACTACTACAATGAAGTTTTTACCAATAAAAAAACATCGGGAAAAACTTTGGGAAAAGACCTTCAGAAGAGCCCTTCCCGATGAAAGTTTTAGCAAATGTGGGGACTTTTTCTGACATTTTGCAAAACGT